TAATCTCCTGTTTGAGACTCATCACTTCAGCCGCCAATGATTCAACTTGGCGGGTTCGAGCAAATAAGCGTTGGGCCATATTAGACACAGAACCTGCACACTGAACACTGAGAGCCAGAGAATCCTTAACAGCCAACTCATCAGACCGTTTGGAAAGTAGTCTGTTATCTTTGGGAGTGAGAAGGTTCCTGGCCACTACCGCAGCGGTCATATCATTCTTCATCATGGAATCCCCAACGGTAAGAGGACCAGTAGGGGAGACGAAGGATGGGCGCCATATGTTGTCTGGAGAAGGTGGGGCTACCTTTTCAACAAGGTTCAAGTCAAAACGACGGTCGGATGGGCCAGACATTTTCAAAGGTGTTGAAGAGAGAAGAGGTCGAACAAATCAAGATCTTAGAAGTGCAAGAATGGAGCTTCTACTGGTGGATATTCAAGTGTGCTTTGAAACTTAATGTCAGCCCCTATAAAAATCGGCACTCGACGAAGCTTCAGAAATCGATGAGGCGCCTGCTCAGAAATCGAAGAGGCGTTTGCTTTCTCAAAAGCTGGGTTGCTCAGAGACCATGAGGGTCGATCTCAGAAATCGAAAAGGCGTTTGGTTTCTCAAAAGCTGGGCTGCTCAAAGACCACGAAGGCCGATCTCAGAAATCGAAGAGGCTTGCTTTCTCAAAAGCTGGGCTGCTCAGAGACCACGAGGGCCGATCTCAGAAATCGAAGAGGCACCTACTTTTCCAGCCTTGTCAGCACCTGTCACACGCACACTCAGCTTTGCGGAAATTATGGGCATTCTGTCGAAGATTTCTGGCGAAGTAGAAAGCACATGAATCGTACTGTTCAATCACCCACTTCCCACACGCAACAGTAGCTCATAGGTACCACAAATAACTTTGCCAAAGTTTTCTGACAAAGTTGAGACACGTGAAGCTTGCAGCTCCCACTACATCGCTCTGACCAAGAAGGGTAAAAGAATAGCAAAGAAACAATACTAACAAAGTTTAGACACATAAATTTTGACGGTCTAGCTACCATATTATTACCCACAAGGGTAAAGGAACAGTACCACTGCTGGATAATTGGAAAGTCCCGATGTGTCCACCTCTGTGCTTCGTGGCAAGGTAGACTAGCAAACATGCCCAACCTTTACTCACACTCGAGAAAACACTCCCAACAAGATTGCTTGCTCCAAAATCGAAGAGGCACCGCCCTCCGAATCTCGAGAGCCAGACCCCCAACATGATTACTTTCTAAAAAATCGAAGAGAGGGTAAATGAACAGTACCACTGCTGGATAATTGGAAAGTCCCTGTGTGTCAACCTCTGTGCTTCGTGGCAAGGTAGACTAGCAAACATGCCCAACCTTTACTCACATTCGAGAAAACACTCCTAACAAAATTGCTTGCTCCAAAATCGAAGAGGCGCCGCCCTCCGAATCTCGAGAGCCAGACTCCCAACATGATTACTTTCTCAAAAATCGAAGAGACACCGCTCTCCGAATCTCGAGAGCCAGACCCCCAGCATGATTGCTTTCTCAAAAATTGAAGAAGCATCGTTCTCCGAATCTCAAGAGCCAGATCCCCGACAGGATTGCTTGTTCGAAAACCGAAGAGGCACCACTTTCCCAACTTCAAGAGCTGGATCTCCTTGGATAAAGCTTGTCTGTAATCTTCACACGCAACATCAGCTTTCCAGATATCACAGACCACTTTTTCAAAGTGCTCTGACAGAGTTAAAACATGTGAAGCTGGCAGCTCCCACTACCGTGCTATGACCAAGTAGGGTAAAGGAATAACATTATTACTTGATGTTAGGGAGACTCCTATATATGTCGACCTCCATCCGCAACGGACAGGCAGACCTGCAAAAATGCTCAACCCTTCCTCTTATCTGAGAGGGCACTCCCAACGAAGCCTTTCGAAATATTCAGCTTTCTTTCCCCCCGATAATACCTCTATAAACAAGCTATACTAGAGCAAGAATATCTCATATCATCAGGGTTAAAAGCAAGAGTATCCCATATCATGCTTTTTCCCTGTCTTTTCCTTTGGCCTTGTTCTTACCTGCAAGACAAGGAGAAAGAGAGCAATCAGTCAGCACTTGGAATCAAGCTTCCAGCCAGGAACTGACTGCCTGGAACCCCTTACCTGATTACTTACCTGGCATTGCTCTCGAGTACTCATCTTCAACATCTTATGCTTCTAGGGAAGATATCGCATCTGCCTGAGGAACAGATACGGCAAGTGAGAAGGATACAAGGAAGCATGTGGAGACAAGCGTAACAGCACACGTGCCGATACATCCACTACTCTGTCAAAAGCAAAAGTATCCCATATCAGCAGGGTCGAACGTACTCTAGATTTGATGGACTTGTTTTGACCCTCAAATTCTTCAGTCGGCCTTATACTCTGGAGGAAACCAGAAAACCCTCCAGCCCAGTTCAAGAATAAGTTTGTGGAAAGTTACTTCTTCAAAAGCAAAAGTATCCCATATCATCTATTCTCATTTTTCTTCTCTTTATCCTTCATGCTGCCTGCAAGATAGGGAGAATGTGAACAATCAGCCGGAGTTCTGATTGCTTACCTTGTCTGTCACCTCTTTCAGCAGATCCCCTAGCTCGGCGACTTGAGGGACTCCTACTACATGGTTTGTATCGCGCTTGACCAAGCCTGAAACTACAAGTAAGCTTCAAGTGAAATTGATACATTACCTTGTGCATCTCCACCAGTTACAGATACCACCCCTGGATGGAGGAAGAGTACTTCCAGAGAAAATGCCACATCTACCTATGAGACAGATAAGGCAAGTCAAGACGATACCACACTCCGGTACTTAGAAGTTTCGTGGTTACGAGATCATTCTCCCACAATATTTCCTAATGTCATTTGTACTAAATCATTCACTTGTACTCACTAAAGGAGAGCTTGAACCTATGTACTTGTGTAAACCCTTCATAATTAATGAGAACTCCTCTATTCCGTGGACGTAGCCAATCTGGGTGAACCACGTACATCTTGTGTTTGCTTTCCTATCTCTATCCATTTATATACTTATCAACACTAATGACCGGAGCAATCTAGCGAAGATCACAAAAAGTGACCGTTTTCGCTACCTAGGATCTATCTTGCAAGAGAACGGAGAATTAGATGGAGATCTCAACCATAGAATACAAGCTGGATGGATGAAGTGTAAGAGTGCATCCGGCGTGTTGTGTGACCGTCGTAGGCCACTGAAGCTCAAGGGAAAATTTTATAGGACGGCAATAAGGCCAGCGATGTTGTATGGCACAGAATGTTGGGCGGTGAAGCATCAACACGTACACAAAATAGGTGTAGCGGAGATGAGGATGCTTCGTGGGATGTATGGGCACACGAGAAAGGATAAGATTGGGAATGAGGATATCCGAGGGAAAGTAGGAGTAGCCAAAATTGAAGGAAATATGAGAGAAAATCGGTTCCGGTGGTTTGGACATGTGCAAAGAAGGCCTACTGACGCTCCGGTTCGAAAATGTGACTACGGGACAGAGGTTCAGGGCCGAAGGGGTAGAAGAAGACTTAGGAAAACTTTGGAAGAGACCCTAAGAAAAGACTTGAGTACTTGGATCTAACGGAGGACATGACACAAAACCGAGCACAATGGCGTTCTAGGATTCATATAGCCGACCCCACTTAGTGGGAAAAGGCTTTGTTGTTGTTGTTGTATTTGGTATGCCTAAAGGTGCCTTACAGTCATTTGCAACATAATTGAATTATTATGTAGTTAATTTAAAACCACCCATACTTAAATCAACTTGATAAGCTAGTATGTGAGCATAAAAATGGGAAAAAAGAAATAGTTATGTCTGTCTCTAGTTTTTAGAATATAATTGTTTTTTTTTCACTATTTTACACATACACATAAACAGTACAGAGACCATTTGATAAAAAAAAAAAAAATACAACATGCACAGAGACTCGACACAGACACTATTCATGAAACAGACATGTAGTTTAAATCCCGGAGAAAAAGTCGGTTACCTTTTGAATCAAAATAGAAACGAGCCGAGTACCCATCCATGACTAAGAATTTCTCAAATCCCGGTTGTAATTAATTAAACAAATTTTTTTCAGGGAAGCGAATTTATACCTTTGATTTTCTGAAGTTTTATGTCCTTTGATTCCTTCACGGGCTTGGTTCATTTTCAAATCCATTTATTGGCCTTCACAGACATCTCCGAGTACAACCTCCAGACATAAACAATACCCATTATACCTTTTTTCAAATGGATTTTAAAGAGAGGGGAGAGAGACTAAGGTTTAAGGACAATAATGATAACTAATTTTATGATGAGAGGACTTGGTGAAGCAATTGTGGTAGGCGCCTCTTTCCTCTTGAAAAATCCTTAATTTGCAGCAACAAAGACCTTTTCAAAAATCAAAGTTAAGTCAAACAAAAAAGAAGCCTTAACTAAAGAAGAGGAACAAAAAATAAACAAATAACAAACCTCATAGGCAGCAAGGAATCGTATACTCTGTAATACAGGGTGCTTCAAATTTGAAGTGCGGAAGATTAAAATCTCTAATATGGAAAACAAATAAGTAACCAATCTCAATATCAATAAACAGAAAGAAAAAAGAAAAAAGGAAAAAACAAAGACGACATGAATTCAAAAGGTTCTATATGTTATATTTAAATTGATTACCTTAGATGGTTTATTTCACATTCTTACGCACATAACAAACCAAAAAAGATTCAAAATATATAAATAATCTAGAAAAAAAAAGGCCAAATTAATACTTTTTTCTCAAATAGGTGGTAAGCATTGCTAATAGGAAAAAAATAGATGAACAACCACTGATAAAAATGCACCCAAAGAGTTAGTGAAATCAAATACAGAACATACAATCATTCATAAAACAATATGAATAAACAGAGAAAAACTTAACAACTCACCCTCACATAAATCAATCAAACACTATAAACCTGCAATTAACAAAACAAACAGTGAAAATTCAAAAAAAAAAAATGAAACATGCAAAAATTGAACAAAAAAGGGACTCTATGTCATGCCCCGATCCCGACATACGTCCCGGATTGACACGTGACGTCACCAAATACTCGTATATCTAACATACCCCGCCTCCGGAATATGAATAAAGCACCACTCAAGGTCCAAATTGTGTAGTAATTTCCGTATATTTTATGGTTGCATCTAACCTCCTCGTTAAACTACCTACATACCCTCAACAAGGATCAAGTCATTCGTAGTTCGTCCTTTGCTACAACTTGACATATATCACAGTCCGTTCAAGCCAAAAGACATAACATTCCTCCATCAAACATATGGACTTGACAAGCATGAATTATTCGATTCAAGCCACATAATGAACCCACATGACAATCAAGGTTTCTATTTCATCCATCATATAAACCATTATGTTTCAACATAAAATCGCAATTCATTGCATGTAATATATCAAAGAATCAACAAAGCACAACATCACTGATCTAATTGTATTAATAGCAATCATATTCAACATTATTCCACAATCACCTCAAGTAACCCATTCCATGAATCAAGGAGACACAATATTAACATTTAATTACGTTAATCAGTCAACCAAATCACATATCATTGCACGAATTTAAATAAGGAATTCTACATAATTCCCTACTTGGATTCTAAGTAATAACCTGATAATTCTAATTTATATTCACAAAGTCTATTGTGGGCAATTCTCATTCACTCAAATCTAGGGTTCTAGTCTAACTTATGGAAATGAGCAAGAGTAGGGATTCCGGACCACTCAACAGAATCTAAACTAAATTATGATCGCCTATCGAAATGTGCCAAGTACAACTAATCATCATAATCTCTAAAATGCGTATGGTCCCCCATCATGGATATACCAAGCAGACCATAGGCATAATCTCATCGTGCAAGCAGTGATCACCCATCGCGGATATACCAAGCATGATCACCCTTGAATACATATGGTCCCCCATTGCGGATATACCAAGCAGAACCATATGCATAATCTAATAACATAGGCAATGATCACCCATCGCGGATATACCAAGCATGATCACCCCTAACAGTCCCCCATTGTGGATATACCAAGCAAGACTGTATTCTGTAGCTCTAGGTAGTGATCACCCATCGCAGATATACCAAGCATGATCACTTCTAGAATGCGTATGGTCTCCCATCGTGGATATACCAAGGAGGACCATAAGCATAGTCCAATCGTGCATGCAATGATCACCCATCACGGATATACCAAGCATGATCACCCCTAAAATACGTATGGTCCCCCATCACGGATATACCAAGCAAGACCATCTAAATACCACTGCTACCTGGTGCAATCAGTTTAGCACACCATCTACCCATACCTCAACCCCTATGAGTTACAACATAGTTACCTACACCATCAACTTCTCATGCCTACCAACAAATATGTCACACAAGCCTATAAGTTCTACAACATACTTCTAATAAGATTCTAGGCTCACATTGCCATAACAATAGTCATACACATCATTCACATTGCTAAAAAGATAATTAAACCCACATATATTACAACCATCATCAGTACACAAGCCAAATCATGTATAATAAACATAGGTCTATGGCTAAATATATAAAAATCACATTTCAATAGAAATCACACTTATAAAACCATTTCATATTCATAACGGATACTAATATAAGAATTTAAGGTAATAACCCTATCCCATATACTCAAGTCACTCTCTAACCATGTGGGTCCACTAGACTTCACTTAGTCTCCCATAGTACCAATTCTAATATCTAGAACATTTCGAGACATGTTGACCAAAAGTCAACTCTCGGTCAACAGTAGGATCCACAACTCTACATAATTCAATCTGAAAGATCTGCATATCGGATTTTAGTTCCGTAACTTCCTAAGGTTCTCATTACTCATAGAACATCGTACTAAAATCTCACCACGATCCGACGGTCAGATCTTCCCTAATCACAATTTCTGGTGGCGGTCAACGTTTTATTTTACAAACTTACAAATCCAATTCGGGAAGATCCATACGTCAGATTCCCGATCTGTAAGTTCCTAGTGTCCTCAAGTATTACGTACTATAAAGTATTAAAGTTTGGTGATGATCCAACGGTCGGATCGTCGATTCACTTAAGGTTCAAGGGGAGGTCTCTATCCAAACTATAGTCATACGATGAGATTTCGTCAATCAAACTTCACATATGGAATCAGAGTATCCAAATTAGTCTAGGAAGGGTAGGTGGGGGTCTCAGCCCATGCACCGCCGCACGTGGCGGTCGACTGCCCCGTCTCGTTGGAAAAATTTAACTATTTCAAAAAATTACCAAATTTTACAGGCAAGTAGTTCTCAGTGAGGGGATCAATTTTCATACTGAGCCTAAGTCTAATTTTCATACCTGAAATCAGCCTTGATCCACCAGAACCCTAGAATTGGGTGTTCCTTAATTCGTCCTCAAATCAACTCTGACGCTCCAACCAATGATTGGGCATTGTTCCTGAGCTCAAGGGAGGTACTTTGATGGTGAGGATCGATAGAAATCATTTCACAAATGGTGATTCCACCACCGTGCATCCGTGAACCCGCCGGTGCTATCCACAAATTCGAGATCAATTCGTGTTAATTTTTGAATGAATATGGAAGCGGAGATGATGCTAAGTTGGTTCCAGGTAGTGGGTGGCTTCAATTCGCCGGAAAATTCACCTTAAAAGGCATCGGAAATCATGGAGAAGTCGGGTCCGGGTTGTGGGTCGAAGGGAAATCCGGGTTTTCCCCTCTTTCTCTCTTCTCTCATTTCCCTCCTTTCTCCCTCTCTGATTGGGCCATCCTCTCATTCTCTCCTCTCTCGATTCGTTGCACTCTCCCCCTTTCTCTCCTTTCTCTCCTATTCTCTCGTCTTCCTTTGTTCATCTTCTCTCCCCTTTTTTTTTCCTGATCTCCCTCCCTTTTCATTTTATTTTTTTTTACAGCCACTCACGTGGCTTCCCTTTTCCACAATATGTGATCGAGATGCTTTCCAAAAAAATCATACGTCGTAAATATAAACGCGTTGAAATTAATAATATGAAAATACGTAATTTTAAATAGTGAAATCTGGGGACGGGATTTCACACTCTACATCACAAATTTATGCAATCTCATTGCCAAAACTGAGCAAATAAACACAAAGTCACGTTACGAAATTAACATTTACAAGAAAATGGAGCTTATCTTTCTCTTGAAAATTTAAACACTGATACATAAAATTGTCCATTAATTCTCAATTCTTCTATGCATCGTGTGGTCATATGCTAACCTGAAATTGACATTATAATTTGTGAATTTTATTAAATGACCCTTAACTTTGTATCTTGACAGTTTTTTGTTTTCTTCCCAAATATCTTGACAGTTAAGATGTATGAAAAACTAATATATATTTACTCTGATTGATCAAATGCTTAGTCTAAATCCTGAACTATGTAATGTACAACATAGTCATCTTTACACAATTATTATGGAACAAACCATAACCATCATCAATGATAATTTGATATAATGTCACATGCGGAAATTCCTTAGCCCATCTATTGAAGACCGAATGTGTGAAAAATAGGCTATAAGTTGAAAAAGAATATTTGATTGCAAATGACTTGACTGTTAAAAGTAAATTGATAAGAACTTACCATAGGTCTGAGCATCATAATACAGAAGCTGAAGACTGTTCACAAAGATTTATCTATATACCAAAGAAATAGTGAAACACATAAGTAAAAATAAATTCTTATCTACCAAGTCTTTTTATACAACTAAAGAAGGTAGGAACATTAATCATCACCTGCAAGAAGAATTTATTTGATGCTTTGATTTGAAGCTGGCTGAAATCGAGTTTTCTTATGATTCCAAACGTGTTCAAACTACCCGGTGTTTTCTAAATAGCTACCACCTGAGTTTCATTTTCATTGACATCAAGCCTAATAATACATTGAAAATGCAAATTTACAGTCAATTAATGGATGAAATATTTATTTTAATGTTTTCCATCCTCAAGTTGATGTTCTATTTGCAACTATGATGTTTCATTCTTTTAACGCTGATGTAAGATACTTCCAGTAACATTTTTATATCCAGTTCCATCCTCTGACAATTCAAACAAAAAAGAAAAATAGGCAACCAAAGTTGAAAAGAAAATACATATATAAGTGTGTGTGTGTATATATATATATACACACATATACGTATACATATATATATATATATATGCATGTATATGTATATATCATATGCAAGATATGAAGTAATTTTCCAACATATGATAAAGCACATGTAATTAAATTACCAGGAAATCATTGTTGGCATCTTAGAAACTTTTTGGTTGAACCTGGATACAAAATAGAATTTGAAATTGAAATGGTCAGTATTTTTAAAAAGCTGATATTGAATAACTACAAAATAAATTTAGCAGAATCATAATTGAACCTCGTGATTTTTCTGATTAATCAAAGATTCTTCCTTTCTGCAGCAATGATGTTTTGAAATGAGAAAAGGAAGAACAACTATTTGTATCCAAAATTCCCACACCACCGTTTCCTGAAATTGAAAACTAAATCAAAACAAATACCCACACACAATATCCAAAAGCACACAGAAAACCCACAAAATTAGAAAGGCAAACTTTAAACACATATCCCCCAAAATTACAACAGAAAAATTTAAACACAAAATTCATCCCTAAATTGAAAACCACCAATCCAAAAAAAAAAAAAAAAAAACAAACAAACAGATACATTGACAAAGCTAAAAAATATGGCCGATATCAAACTTACCTAAAGTATGTGTGTAGCATGTCACAGATCCTATCCAAACATAATACGGAAAAATAGATACATAAATGCTTTCAAATTATTTCATTAAAAAGAAAACTAACATCTCATTACAACTTTCCAATCCACTATTTCATTATGTAAGTCTCACCTCAACTGTTTTAAAATTGAACACCCTAATTTCCTATTTGCAAAACTTGAACACCCTAATGACCAACCGAGGGCTAGACCAGAGAGTTGTGGAATCTGATAGGGCCCCACGGAATCGGAAAGCACTGAAGGGCTGGCCAAAAAATGGAAATAAACCGACAGGAATGCTTTGAATTTTTTTTTTTACAGTTTTATTATTACTTTTTATTTACAAAATTTTTCCTATAACTTCTATTTTTCATATACGTTTTTTAAATTCTATTTTTTTCCTATATTTTTATTTTACAAAATTTGTTTCATATTTTTTTTTAAATTCCATTTTTTCCTATAACTTCTATTTCACAAAATTTGTTTCATTTTATTTTAAATTCTATTTTTTTCCTATAACTTCTATTTCACAAAATATGTTTCATATTTTTTTTAATTCTATTTTTTCCCTATAACTTCCTAAGCCATTATACAACATTAAGTTAAATTAAGTAACATGAAACAACATTAAACAATATAAAACAACATTAAATAACATTAACCAACATAAAAATTATACAACATAAAAATTATACAACATAAAAAAACATTTAACAACATGAAACTTAAACAACATTTAAGTTGTAGTTTTTAAATAATAAATTATGTTTGGCCCTATGGCCCTTTGGCCCTCGGTTGGAGACGGTTTTTTGTGACATGGCTAAAACGAGCCCTCTGGCCCTTTGGCCCTTGGTTGGAGACGGAGGCAAATATGGCCATGTATTGTTCATTAAAATATTAATATCTTGGAGGGCCAATGTCTTAGCCCGTCCCGAAATAAATTATCGATGGCGTGGAAGTTACTAAATTACCTTTGGATGTTGAGATATATTTGAGTTATGTGGTGGTGTTGTTTTAGTTTAAATTTATTTGGACAAATTCTAAAATTTTCCTAAGTTTTGGAACACTTAGGACTCAAAGTGTTTTCTTTGGTTTGGTGGGTGACCCATGTGGACCACACACACACACACACACAAACTCTCCCTCTCTCTCGTGCCTTCTCTCTCTCCTCCCTCTCAAATTTTTCAGAAAATCCGCACAAAACGTAAGGACGAACTTCAAAACCAACCATACACGCACAAATCGAGGGTTCAAACGACACCATTGTGTTCCTGAGGTTCATACGAGTTGAATGGTACCATTTTTAGGTAAAACTTTCTTCGAAATCTCGTGAAAACCCTAACTCGATTTTTTTGTCACTTTTTATGCAACTGTAAAATCGTGTGTTTTAGGGGATTTCAAGCTCACATGAAGCTTTAGGAGGTTCTCACAAAGCTCGGAGTGGTTCGTTGGAAGAAATTGGACATCAAATCATCAAGAACGACAGGTTTTAAGATTTACCGGAATATCGAGGCCTTTTCCAGCAGGTTTCTGGTGGTTTCAGAGCTCGACTCAGGTATGGTTTTGTTCGTCTTGGTGAGATCTTCAAAATGGTTCAAGTTTTTTGAAGTTTGGTGTTAAAATGAGAGAGAAATTAGGGTTAGAAACTTTTCCAGAAACCGGCAAACAGTCTCCCGCGTCCGGTGACTCGTCGGGGAAGAAGAAGCATATTCCTATAGTCGACGGCGTACGGTAACGCCGTTAGTTTTTAGACAAAATCCTAGATTTTAACGGAATATTCCTGACGGCATTAACTGCCACCATCAGTGTGCCAGGCACGTGCCCGCACGTGGGCGGGGCGTTTAGCCGTGCCTTGGCCGGCGCATGAGGGGTCGAAATTTTTTTCTAGAGATATGGCCCAGGTGGCGCGTTTGAGCTCATAAACATGCACCCCGGTGTTAGTGATTTAGCCAGAGATATGGCCCAAGCCTATTTATAATGTCACCTCCCGCACCCTATGCTCACATTGGATCCAATTTAGGTGCATAGTCTTGTTGTATAGACCATTATAGGTGGTTTCGACTCATATGTGACTAGCGATTTATCGCACAGCTATCATGAGAGCGGAGTATTGAGCATAATTATATTACACCCAGTTTTGTCGTACAGACCCTTCTAGTGGTTCCGACTCGTGGACAGTGTAGCACCGTATAGGTCACTTGTAGTGACTCCGGCTAAATTGACTAATGAGCTATGAATTTGGCTGTATAGACTTCTGTAGGGGTTCCGGCTAATATATTATTTACCATGAATTTATTTCATCTGAGTTACTTATTATGTTTTATATTTGGCATGGCATACTTATGTTTATGGAGATGTGAAGCATGACTTGAATATATCTATATATATTTATAATCACATTTTATTTCTGGGAAAATTATACATGTTTTATGGCAAGAGGTTAGAGCATTTGATAATGTTTTTGAAAAGCTTTGTTTTTGCCCACTCACATTTTCTGTTTTGCACCCCTCCAGGTTTTAGGTAGTCTTGCTATTGGTGGCATTTGAGGATCTCGGTGGTTCTGACAAATTATATATTTAGTAGGACATCTTTTGGTATTGTATAACTAGTACTTGTCCTATTGGACTGCACCTAGACTTTCTATGCTTTGATTAGGAGTATTTACTCTTGTATCTCATTCCTAGCACTTTCTGCTTATTAGTGAACATTAGTAGTTTTTTTTTATTTATTCGTATATTTCTTATCCTTATCGTTTCCGCACTGTGCACATGGCTACATCACCCTCACATGACGGCCAGCACGCCTTGATCTTTGGTCGGGGTGTGTTAGTTTAGTATCAGAGCCTAGGTTTAGCATTCATGTATATCTTGTGAATGATCTAATCATTATGATGTCTTCTGTTAGAACTATGTCACCTCGTAGAAAGCCACATCACTTAGCTGAGCCTAGTTTCCCTGATATTGCTCAATTAGGGGAAGCTATAGCTAATGCCATTCAGTCTTCACTCCGTTTTCCTCAAATGACACCTCTTAAGACTGTGTATAATCTGAAGCTGAATCATTTCTTGGGAAATGAAGGACATGAGGGAGCGGACACGTGGCTTAATTATGTCGAGAAGACTTTTCTTGTGATGCAGAGTTAGAGGAATCTTCCTCCTGATAGGTGGATCGAGACGACTACCTAGTTTCTAGGTCCGAAGCCTGCATCTTAGTGGAGACAGGAGTCCAATCAGATGCCACCAGAGGTAGTAGCCGATTGGGAAGTGTTTAAACAGTTGTTTCGGAAAAGGTTTATTCCCCCTGAGTACATTGATCGCAAGAAACAAAAGTTTACGCATCTGAAACAAGGAAAGATGTTAGCGAATGAGTATTACAGGAGGTTCACTGATTTGTCTCGATATGATCCGGAGGTTGCTACTAATCCGGTCGAGATGCTTCATCGCTTTAGGTTGCATACTAAGAAGAAATGACGTTCTATAGCGACATCAACTCCCTATGCCACTTACCAAGAGTTTTATGAGATTTTACTGCGAATTGAGGACTCAGAGAACATGCCCAGTGAAAGTGAAGATGAAGAAGAAAAGAATGTGAACCAGATGCGAGATGATAAAGGTAAAGGTCAATCATCTCAGGGACCTCGTAAGGCCTAGAATTTTAAGAGAAGTGGTGTCAGTTTTAGCTCTTCTAGTGGAGGCTTGTGCTCTAATATGCAGAGGAGAGGTGGTAGATTTTCTGGAGGCCCGAGATTTCAGAGGCAGAAGGACTTTGGTGGTTCAGGTGCTCCTTTATGCCGTATGTGTAATAATAGGCATTTTGGAGAGTGTAGGAGAGGCAGCAGTTCATGCTATACTTATGGAAAGATGGGGCATATGGCTGCATATTTCCCTCAGAATTAGCAGAGGCCTCAACAGCCTTCCTTACCACCACCTGCGTTGACCCAGCAAACTTCAGGATCTAATGGTTATGCTCAGACTGGTCGTAGAGGTGCTTATCATTATCAGGGCGACGCTGCTCCTTATGCTACAGGGTAGTATCAGTACTCACATGACCCTCATTATCAGGGTGGTTACCCTTAGTATCAGGGAGGTTTTATGCCATATCAACCACATTCAGCAGGTGGATCCCAGTGATACCAGGGGGGATAGCCCCAGCAGGTAGAGATTGCTGCTAGCAGTGCAGGATCTTCGAGGCAGTCTGGTCAACCAAGACAAGGATGAGGTATTCATGCTAGCAGAGGTCGTGGTGGACGACAGCATAATCAAGGACGTATCCATAACATGACACTGCAAGATGCTCAGAACAATCTTGATTTAATCATGGGTACGTTAAATATTCTTGGTCATTTGCTAGAGTATTAATTGATTATGGTGCTACACATTCTGTTGTTTCTCATACTTTTGCCGAAGTGACTCAACCTCATCCTACATCTCTAGGATATGATTTAGAGTTTCCTATGCCTAGAAGAGAGAGGTGTTATGTTGATCAAGTATATATAGGATGTCCAGTGATGGTGGAGAATGTTGTTATGCCAGCTAACCTTATTCCGTTAGACATTGTTGATTTTGATGTGATTTTGGGCACTGATTAGTTACACTACAATCGTGCCAAGATAGATTGTTATGGAAAGACAGCCACATTTCATCGTCCTGGATTACCTGAAGTTACATTTGTAGGAGAGCCTATCGGAGTGAGACATGGTGTTATTTCTGCCATGAAAGCCAAAAGATTGTTGTCGAAAGGTTGTCAGGGATATTTGGCTCATGTGGTATTGAATGATAATGCTCTTAGTAGTGTGGAGGATGTACGTGTGGTTAGGCATTTTCCGAATGTGTTCCCTGATGATTTGCCTGGATTACCGCCAGATAGAGATGTGGAGTTCACTATTGAATTGCTTCCAGGTACGGATCCTATATCTTTGACTTCTTATAGAATGGCTCCTGCTGAATTAAGGGAATTGAAAGTTCAGTTGCAAGAATTAGTGGATAAAGGTTTTATTTAGCCTAGTACTTTACCCTGGGGAGCTCCAGTCTTATTTGTGAGGAAGAGAGACGGAACCTTGAGGCTGTGCATTGATTACAGGCAATTGAATTGGGTAACAATTAAGAACCGTTATCCATTACCTCATATAGATGATTTGTTTGATCAACTTCGAGGTGCCTGTGTGTTTTCTAAAATTGACTTGAGGTCTGG